CTTCCTTGGAACTACGCTTCACTGTAACAGGAAATAGTGGCAGGTGCTGGGTTAAAATCCTAGATTGTAAAGTCCAAGTTGTGGCTGCACGAGGGGTGACCCATACCTGGGATGTATCCTCGGGCAAGTTACTTTCTATCACTAAGCCTTAGTCTTCTTCTTCTTAGATGGATGAGTAATAGTACCTCACTCACTGAGATATGGTGCAGAGCTAAGGACATAATGCATAGGAAATGCCTAGTACCATGCCCAACACATAGTGCCCTTCATGCTAGCTAGTACAGGTTACATGTAAGTGCCCACCACTGGATTGTGGGCTCCCTGAGCACAGGTACTGTGTCTTTTGCATTGTGGTGTCCCCAGGCCTCTCACAGGCCCTGGCCAGAGCAGCTGCACTGAATGCAACAGGAAATGCCTAGTACCTCACCCTGATGTGCCTCACCATCAGCTGGGTCCCCTGGGACCTTCCCTGCCCATGGTAGGGCTCTCGCCTTCAGAGTGAGCAGGTCCTCAGATACATCTGGTACAACCCCTTATTTCACATCATAGTTATTAAGATGAAACTGAGGCCCAGAGAATTGGAAGCCAGCACTTCTCCCCTTGAGAGTTACCCCCATAGTGAGGCCAGACCCTGAGGCTTGGGTATAGGGGACCCACTGGGGAAGTGCTGCTTTCCAGAAGAGACATGGCTTCCATCCAGGACCCTAACTTGGGGAACAGGACCTGGATGCCGCTGACTACAGCTCCATGGCCCTGGTTGGACAGCACAAAGAGCTATGTAATACAGACACCTGAAACTGGCTCCAATGGGCTGCTCTCGACAGTGGCAGGAACAGGAAGCAACTCTAGAGAGCCTGAATGAATTTGGAAATCACCACAGCCACTTTCTTAAAAGCCCCCCCTTCATCCCTCCCCCCTCTCCCAAGCGACCTGCATGTCCCTCAAGGTCATAGTTCCAAGGTTCATTGTGAGGAAAGTGAAGGAGGAGAGAGGGAGCAGAGGACAAGAGAAGCTGTGCAGGAGGGCCTGCTCACTGTGTGACTGTGGGGAAGGTACTGGGAACGGGGAAATCAGGGAAGCCCGGGGCAGCCCCTCCTTCTTGTATTCTTCCAACATTGAGGATTTCCTAGGCACCAGAGATATGCTGGGTGTAGGAAAACAATGGTGGGCAAGAGCAGGGCAGCATCTAGTGCCCAGCTCTAGGGAGTGTTTGCTCCTCACACAGACTATGAAGTGAATAGCACCCCTGGAGGTATTTGGTGCACAAACTGCTCAACTCCGTGATAACCCTAGAATGACACAGTCTTTGCCCTAGAGCAGGACAGCTATCAGACAGTGCAGCACCAGCAGTGGGGTACCCAGTGAAAGCACACAGCCAGGCTCGGGGAGCAGGGCTGAGACCTGAAGTGTGAGGAGAGATCACCCAGGAGAGGGTGATTGAGGGATAGGGGTGGGGGTGGGTGGTGGGAGGGAAGAGAGAGTATTCCCAGCAAACAAAACATGTGAAGGCCCGGAGGCAAAGGATGGCATGGAGACAGAAAAAGGTAAATGGGAATGGCTGGAACTCCAAGTGGCCATGATGTGGAGTGATAGAAGAGCCGTGAGAAGAGTTTGTCCTACATATATGAGTACGATGATCAGATGTGCTCTTTATAAGGAGGACTCGGCTGCAGAGTGGAGATAGGTTGGAAGAGGTACAACTTTCAGGGAGATCTGTGGGGGTTTGTCCAGGGGTGCAGGCCAGAGATGGTAGTGGGCTGGCCTAGAGTGGGGGCAGGAGGTGGCAGGAGAGAGTGGGACTTGGAAAATAGTTGAGAGGTAACATCAGTGGGATATGGGGTTGAAGCAGATGCAGGGGAGCAAATGACTGGGATCCTAGACTGGCTGATGGAGCAGGGCTGGCAGGTTGGAGAGCTGGGGAAATGATGATTGTCCAAGATTCCTTCCAGCCCAAGAATTATAGGATCTGTGTGACTGGTGGAAATCATGGGATCAGAATATTAAAACCAAGATCTCAAAGAAAACTAGAGTTACATCCTGGCTGAAGGCTTCATGCCCATCCCCATTCCCCTTCAGGTCACTGAGTTATTATTTTCCCCTTTTCATCTTTCCAGTATCTTCTTCATGCAGGCACCATGTCCAGCACTGGGGATATAAGTTGGGTGCCCTGTTTTCAAGAGGGAGTCAAGGAAACAGGAAACGATGATACAGGGCTGAACAGCTATGACGGAACCCCAGGGCTATCGGAGTGCCGTGTTGGGAGGGCAGGGAGAGCTGCCATGGGGAGAAGGAGCATGGGAAGTGAGTCCCAAAGCAAGAGGAGGAGTGATGGAGGCCCTGTGCAGGAGTATGGAGGGAGTAGGAGCATCAGCAGTGGAGGCAAAGGGAACAGCATGTACAAAGCCCCAAAGAGATGTGAGGCGATGAGGCCCAGAGAAATTAAGCAATTTTTTCAAGGTCACAGTTCATGTGCAGAAGAAGAGAGAGGAGCAGAGCTCAGTCTCTAGTAAATGTGTGCCATGTTTTCAATCACTTTGCTCTAGCCTGGCAATATCTTTTCCCCCTTCTTTCTACCTCCAGACATGCTTGGCCCAGAGAAACACCTGAGCCAGGAGAGGTGAGCTCCTTCCCAGGGCTGGGTCCACCTTGCATGAGGATCCTGTCACTTCTACTAACCCTCACCTTTCCTGCCTCACTCCTGCTGGCCTGAGTGCAAGCCCATCTATTTGTACTATGTCATGTCCACTATAAAATGTGTCCATGAAACTAATCAGAATCCTGTGCACTCTATCTCCCACCTAGTAATTGGCATTAAAGGAATCAATCTGCCCAAGCTGAAACATGAGTTTTCTGTGCTGTTATTAACTGGATGCTCCTTAAGTTGAGCTGTAATCTCTTTGTGGAGAGATCATGCTTCTTTTTTTTTCATGCTCTCCTTCCTTGTTGCCTTGCACATCATAGTTATTAAAAAAGATTCACTCAGTGGGCCCTTATTATGTCCAAGACATGCCGCTAGATGCTAAGGGGAGGGTACAAAGATGAATAAGAGATGGTCTCTGTGCCCAAGGAGCAGAGTCTTGGGGAACTGAGAGGACTCCCTCATCCGAGCCAACTGGCCACTCCCATCACCCCATGGTGTTCCAGATGAGCTGTGCTCCAGCCACTGCACAGACTCGCTACTTCACAAGCAAGACATTCTGAGTTTGTAACAGCTCTAGTTGTTAATCAAGCTAAAATCTTCCTCTCCTATAGTTTTCATACATTAGTACCACTAGTTTTGCCTAGAATGAAAGAAAATACATGTAATCTCTTTATCACATGCCAGCTCTTCCATACTTAAAGATTGTCTTCATGGCTACAGTTTCACCATGTCTCCAGCCAATCCTGGAGAATCTTGCAGGATTCTCATTTCCCCCTTAAACAAAGCCCCAGAGCCAAGCATGGGCTCCAGACAGGCCCGAGCAGGAGCCACTGCGGGGCTCTGCGGCTGCTCCCTTTTCTGGGGCCTTGCCTACCCTGCTGTGCAGGCTGCTGTGCTCACTTCTCTGGCAGCTGCTTCACCGGCTGTTGACTCATCTTAAGCTTTCAGTGAACTGAAACCCTAAGGCCTTTCTCCCAGGACCAAGCCTGCCCATCTTATATGAGTGCTGTGGGCTTTTCAAAGTGAAGAGCAGAACTTTAGATTTTTTTATATTTAATTTGACTTATTTCACACAAACCATCTTTCTGTCCTGGATTCTATCATCAAAGTATTAGCTGTCCCCTACTAGCTGTGTCATCAGAAAGTTCTGCCTCGTTACAGTGATTGAACCTGACAGGACCCGCTCACCTTAGAATTGGCACTGATGGAAAATAAACGGTTTTGAGAATTCTGTTTAAGAACTCATCTGATTATATTGTGAGCTAATCTACTTTCTATCATGTCTGCAGAGCTATCATAAGAGATTTTATCAAATACCATTAGAGAGCCAGGTGCACTGTACTGCAGCTGGCCCCGGTCCAGGACAATAGCTTTGCATTGATGCCTAAAGAAAGACATGAGGTTGGTTTGGCTTGATTCAGTTTTATTGACCTTTCTATTAGCTTCCCTTCCTAAGACTCACCTTGTCCACTGTATTAAAGATTGGTTCTTTAGAACCTACTTATTTCAGAGCAAAAGGGACCTTGGAGATGATTCAAGATCTGATCCCCAATTTTGCTGATGATAAACCAGAGTACTTAACTGGTGTTCCTGAAGTCATAGCTTTACTAGAACAAGAACAAGGCTCTTTCATAGCAATATCAAGTCATAATGTCTTTCTCTAAGCACATTCATACTCGTGTGTACGGACACACTTACACACATGCATAAATACACACATACTTATAGATCTCCCTTTAGGTCTCTTAATTGTCCACCAAGAAAAAAATGTGGCATTATCGTCTTGGGGTTCAACTGGGACCCCATTACTGACCACTTTCTTCTCCTGCTAGAACCCCTCACAGGGATTTGTTCTCCAGCAGGGGAGCTTTGGATCCCCCTAACCTGGGTTTATCTTGGGAATCCTCACTCTACCAGGAGACCACTGTCTTTGAACTTCATTTGAGCCTGTGTGCGCTTAGGCATGGGACTGCCCTTTGAGTGGGCATATTAACTGGGCTATCTCTTCTAAGTAGTGAGTGGCTGTGGAACTTCCCCAGAGAACAATAGGCCACTTGTGTAATGCTTTGTGGGGCAGCTTAGGCTTCCTCCTAAGGTGAGAGGAGCAGAGCCCTAGACACACTGTCAAAGGGCCTGGCCTTGCAAGGATGTGACCCTACCAAGTGAGGGTTGGTTATATTGGAGACTGAGCTGTGAGGAAGGGCAGATTATTTAGCTCACTTTGAGAGAACAGGTGGCAAAAAAAGATGCAGTTGCAGCAAAGGTGGGCCCAGATGGGCAGATACCTGGTACCCTGGACAGCTCCCAAAAGCAGGGCCCCTTCACCACCCTCCCCACCCCCCTTAGAGGCCCTGGGTACCTGTTTATTCTTTAGGTCAAGGGAGAGTTCGTAATCGGAGGCAGCAGGGGCGTGAGAGCAGAGCGCTGTCGCCAGGGCAGGCTGCTGCAGGCCAGGGGAGGCCCCGCGATGGGGGCCAGCCCTTGGGGAGGCACCCCCCGCCCCTGGCCTCTCCTCCTCCTCCTGCAGCTCCTGGGCTTGAGCCTTCGGGGAATGGGCACTGGGTCTGCCGGCTGCCACCACGGAGTCCTCCATGCCCCCACTGGCCTGGGCACAGGAGCCGTCACTGTGAACAAAAGGCAACGGTGCTCGGTTGGCGGAGAGTGGGACAGGGTGCATGTGGGTGCAGGGGTGGGGGGAGAACCTGGGCAGTATGGCAGTAATGGGCCTTTCTAGAGGTGAGGGCTGGCGGAGATGTCTTCTGCAGTCCCCTCTGGGGAGGGGCTATCTTGGCATGGAATAGCCCCAGGCAAGGAGGAGGACCTAAACTTGAGGAGGGTATCCCTCATCGAGGAAAAAAGCAGCTATGGCCAGAGCTCATGAACCTCTACTTAGGGGCAGTAGTTCAGAGTGGCTAAGAGTAGATTGCTTGGGTTAAAATGTGGGCTCTGCCTCTTAGTAGCTAGTGGGTCTCTGAGCAGACTACTTAACCTCGCTGTACCTATTTCCCCATCTATAAAATGAGCATAATAACAGTATCTACTTCATAGGAATGTTGGAAGGCTTAAGTTAGTTAAAATTTTTAAAAAAGTGCTTGGTTCATGGTCATTGTTGTGTGCAAGTGCCAGCTATCATAGTTATCAGATACTTGGCTTGGATAGTGAGGAGAAAGCTGGCCCCCACTGGACCAGCTCCCTCTTTTGTCAGATGAGTCTGGGGAAGGAGTCATGCTTATAGGCCTGGATGGGGCAAAAGCCCCTTCAGGGCAGGTGGATGCCATTTTCTGGGCTGTAGCTGTGAAGAGGAGGGTTCTTAGGAGTATCTGTTCTTCTCTGGGCCCTCCTCTTCTCCCGTGAAGCCACCAAACAGGCTGAGCTGTAGCTGCTGCCTGCCTGCCCACTATAAGTAGACACCTGCTAGCTGGACAACCACACCACAGCCTGCCCTGGAGTGTTAATGCAGTTAGGTCTTTCCCTTTCCCCATCAGCCTCCAAATTCTTCCCTTCCCTCAAGGCCCAGTGCCAAGCCACCTCCTGCAGGAAGCTTTCCCAGGCGACTCCAGCTTTCACTGCCCTATCTGCTGGAATCCTAGGAGCACTTAGAGAGTCGGTATCTATGTCACAGAGGAGAAGTATCATGGCTCACAGTATAGGCTCAAATCCAAGCTCTTCCACTGTGTGGCTTTGATCAAGTTGCTTTTTCTCTGTGCCCTGGTTTTCTTATCTGTGTAGTGGAGATACCAGTACCTAACTTACTGAGTTATTGGGGGTGGGTATAAAGGAGTCAGTATATGAAAGGTGTTTAGCACAGTTCCTGGCAGAGTACATGCTCAATAAACATAAACTCTTGTTTTTCTCATCTGTCCCCTCCCAGAGGCCAGGATCTGTATTCCACCTGGTTCTCTTCCCCAACTTAGTGCTGGACAGAGGATGAGTACTCAATACATATTTGCTGATGATAGAATTAAAGAGAATCCAAGGACCAGAGGATGGCCTCTGCAGTGGACAGAAGGCCAGGACTGAATGGGACCCTCAGGTCATTTAGTTCAGTCTTCCAATCTCCCCTTTTCACAGATGAGGAGCAGGGGACCAGGGAGGTGGCGTGAGCCTAATTAGAGAGCTAGGCAACATCAGGACTTGCTTATTTCCTCCATGGTTTTGCCTCCACTTAAGATGCCCCAAATCGTGCCAGAGAAGAGACCTCTTCTTATTGCCTCCACCCAATGTTGGAGCCTCCTGGTGTTAAGAATAACCAGGGGCAGAGTGAGGAAGCCTCTCTTCACTAAATCTCCATCTGTCCTCCCAGCATCCCCCAAATAAAGGAGAGCTCATCAGCCTGCCCTGGAACCGGGAACCTCAAACTCCCCAAGGTACCCGTCCTTGCTACTGTGCATTCCTTTGCTCTGTCATTGCTTATGCAGCACCAATGAAGCTACACAGTTGGATGAGCTCTAGATATCTGCTATGGTTTCCTTCTTAATTAGTATCACCAGGAGGTTCTTTTAAAGCTCTGACTTCAACTCCTCTTGCTTAACGTATATGCCCGTTCTTCCTTCAGGGCACATGGAAGCAGCCCTTTCCCTCTGAGAGCACAACCTGCCTCCAGGCTCTGGAAGGCAATGTTCAGTCTCCTCTACAAACATCCATCTCCCCGACGACTGTCCTTGGAACTGACAGCCAAGGCCTCTCCACCCAAAAAGGTATCAAGACTTTAGAAAACAGGTGGCTACTCAGGGCTATAGAAATCTTTAAAACTAGCCCTTTGTGTTGTCTGATTGCTGGAGTGTGCTTGGCAAGAGGTTCTGGGGAGTTGATGTCACTCAATATCAGGCCTCAACCAGCAAGCAGAGGCTGGTAGATAAATATACCAGCTTCCTCCTCCCTTGGGCAAAGCAACTCTGAGGCGCATTCCATGCCATCTCCCCAAAGTGCCCAGGGCAATGGAGCTCTGGTTGGCCAAAGCAATGATCTAATCATTTAATGAATTTGTTTCCTTCTTTTTTGTGTCTCATTCCCAGCTCTCCTATTGACACTTTGTAGAGTTACCTTGCTCCAAATAAATGTCTTAAACTTTTGAAATAGGCTTCTGCGTGGGCCACCCCTCTGGATATAGACTAGGGCTCTGAGGCCTGCTCACCAGAACTCATTCACAAGGCCTAGGAGTTAGGCTGCCCCACTGCCATCTCCAGCACATACAGATGCATGTGCGTGTGCATGTACACACACATACACTTGTGTACGCACAATGTTTCTAAATAGCTGTGAGGCTTTGAGTAATTCATGTCCTCCTCCTGGGTCAGTTTCTTCTCCAGTCACATAAGGAGTTTACTCCTCTCTCAGGACCCTTCCAGCTCAGACATTTTGGGAGCATGGGTTGCAGTGCTGAGACCTGTTCAACCAGGCCCACCAATTCCAAGGTTCCAGGCTCTGTAACTGGTAGAATCAACTCCCACCTATGTGCACGGGGACCTGAGAGACTGTGGCCCTCAAAGGTATATAATTAAGAGTGTAAAAAGGAGACCCTGTCCGTGCCTTCCTTTCTTAAATCTCTCCACAGACTTGTGGTATAGAAGGTGTCTATGGAAACCCAGGACTGCTGTCATTAGTATGGCAACATTTAAGGTTATTTAATGGCAGGCAAAGAACATTGGCTTTGATTTCAGGAAGACTTGGGGTAGAACCCTTGTCTGCTACCTACTACATGACCTTGAGCAAGTTATCTAAACTCATCTACAAAATGGGCATTCTAATAACTCTTTTGCAAGATTGCTGTGAGAAATAAATATAGTCTGTAAGGCACCTAGTACAGTGCCTGGCACACAGTAGTCCTTAATAAGTGGTGATGGCAGTGGTGATTGTATTCTGAGCTGGAACCCTGTAACATAGAATCTCAAAAGAATCCCAGAAAAACAGCAGGGAGAATTCCTAAGTGGAAAGGGTTCTCAACATTTAGTCTTCCTGCCAACCTTCATAAAACAGAAACAATAGAATTTGTGTGTATTTTTATCATACCTCCTGGCCTTTCCCATCCCTCCAGCCCTCCAAATCTGCCCAGGGTGTTTAGGGAGAAGACTGAAGATGGGCTGGCTTCCTTGAGGCTTACTCCCACCTCTGTCCTCCATCCATGGGAGCAACAGCACAGTGAAGGGCCTTGCTCTGGAATGTCACCAAGTCAGGGGACCCATAGAATCCCCATGGCCTCTGAGGAATCTGTGTATATCAACCACCTATTGACCATCCCTTTAACTGTAGCCACCATAGTGTGGGCATCCCCTGGGGGGCATTTGTCCAGTGCCTATTGTGTGGATTTGTGCTTTGGTCACTTTATCAAAGAGCAGTGGAGGCCAGAGTGTTTAGTACCTCTATGTAAAGGCTGAGCACCAATAGAATGTTCTCAGCCTCTATTTCCCTCTCTGCACGCCATCTATAAAAATGGTCCAAGGAAAGAGGTTTTAATCTTCATCTTAGGCTGTCGTAGCTGGAAGGACTATCTCCTTCAACCCATAGTCTTTTGTGGAATTGGCAGCCGTTGTTCTAGCTCCTGGGACATCATTCCTCCCAAGTCACAGTCTGTGTGTCCCTTAAGTTTCCAGAGTTTGCTGGGCTGATCTCACTTCACGAAGCTTCCATCCTAGTGGGTCAGATTCCAGGCAGCCTGGCTATAGAACAATTATTATTTGGAATTTACTCTGAGACCTGTATAGAAGGTCACAGAATAAAGAAATCTTGCAGCCCCTCCCTTGAGCTGCTGGAGGGAGATCCTGGTGATTGTAGCTGTGTTGGGCTCCATGTCCATCTCCAGAAACAGAATCATTGAATGGCAGTCCACTAGCCTGAGGACACTTAAGGTCACTGCTGACATTTGGGGGATACTAGTCACAAGAGTCTTCCCTGGGTTAAGGGACCCATTTGAGAAGATGAAAAGTAGAATGTGAGTGGCACCAAAGTAGAGGTTCTTAAAAGGCTTCAGTTGTGCCCATGTGATATTAGGCTGTTACATATAGAGGAGCCCGGGTCATCCATGAGGTTATTTTATACATGAGAACACTGGATTTGAGTATGGGAAATGAATGTCTTTGAGAAATTGAGAAAACAAGAGTTGCTTGGAAAAATATGTACGTTGGAGCTGAACAATCACACTGGGGAAGGGCCACTCATTGGAAAGCCAGCTCGTGTTCAGAAGGAAGCTGGGTGCCTGCTGAGCACGCCAGTCCTGGCCCATATGCGACTGCCCTGGTGCTCCAGTGACCACTCCAGCCTACCTACCATGTCTGCTACCATAGTTGACTTCCTACAATGCAGACACTTTGATATCAATTCTCTGTTCAAAACCCATCTGAGACTTTCCAGTGCAGTACTTTCCAGTGAAGTCCACCCATGCGACACTCAGGAGCATTTGTGATCTTACCACAACCTCCCTTTCCAGCCTTATCTCCACTGAGTGACTAACCACTCTGTCTACAGTGAAACTCTCCCCAAATCTGCCAAGTCCTCTCAGATCACCACGCCCCTCACATGACTTCCTTCTGCCTGAAATGCCTTCTCTCCATGCCCTGGCCTACTCCTTTCTTTGACTTTGACTCATTCATTGCCCCCAGAGAGAATCCATCCACCCTCCAATGTGCTC